AGAGACCTGACAGCCCAACTTAATTTTTAAGTTATTGAAGGACCTTTCCCTACTCGTAGACCAACTTTCAGTTAATTCAATACTTTTAAACTAAAGCTTTCTTAAAGCTCTTGCATTTGACACCAAAATTGAAATATTTCACATAACTTGAATGCAACTTATTTAAATTCAACGTTCAAATAGGTGGCAACCCTTTTCAAAACTATATTCAAACTAACAACTTCCTGACCACCTTTACTTTGCTACCTTTATTGTGACCCATGTTTAAATTAACTTACAAATTAACTTAAATTTAGCTCTTTTAATAGGTGGTAACCTTCTTCTCCGATTGGAGCTGTTAAAGTGTAATATTCTCAACTGCTGCTCAGCTTTCCAGCTTTCGCGAGGTTAAAATTTAAACACCTTGGGGCCCACTACTGGCTCACCAACGGGAAGCTTTCGGGAACAGAGATAAGTAGCTTGCGCGGTATTGTCGTTTAGAATGAAGAATTTTTGCTACTATAAAACCTTATGGTCTGATTATGCATACTTCGCATAACTTCGCACAACTTCGCATAAACTTCAAACTGTAATTTCGTATGTACTTTGTATGTATTTTGTATGTATTCCATTGCCCAGAAATTAGCAGAACTTTTAAAAACTTAGCGATCAGTTGAGTGTAGATTTTGTTTCACATTTTCTTAAGTTACACTTTTAGTGCACTGGTACAAATGGTTGTGCGAAGTTATGCGAAGTATGCATAATCAGACCCTTAAGCAACCTCGCATCAACGCCCCTTCGTATCTTCATCTCTCTGGGAGTTAACACAAAGGTTTGTAAATTTAATTACTCTAATTGTAAGTGCACTTTCACCAATGAAGGCAGCCAGCCAACCCGATCTAACCTTAGAAGGTCAATGGAAACAAAAAAAAATAAAAATTGTGGAACTTCGCAAAAAAAATATTTTCTGAGACACCCTAACACCCGATATTATACATTCAATTTTGTTCATCCTGCAATGACTTAAAAAAAATTTTGCACATATTCGTTATTGTTTTTCTTTTTAACTATTTTCAACGAAAATAATTTATTTTAGAAAGGTAAAACTAATTATGGAATGAAATAGAATAAAATCAAAGTTTTGATTGCATACTTAGAATAAGAAAGTGAGCCCGCCTACACGCATTCATAAACAGGGCAAACTTAACAGCCTGCATGTAGATCCACATATATATCTGTCTACGTATTTATGCACATATATACATATATACTCGTAAATGAAGTGTATTTTGTCATACAAGTTTCACTGTTGTACATGCATTTTATTATAAACATACATATGTACATATATACCATACATACATACATACATACATAAATATGTACGATTTTTGTTTCTGCCCATTAATTATAAATAGTGTCAACTGTAACGCTCGGATTGTTGTGCATAGGATTAAAAATTAAATGAAGCTAAACCAAATATGTATGTATGTATGTACATAAATATTGAATAGTATCCCTGCAGGAAAATCATCATATCGCACCTAGATCTAAAATCGGGAATATGAATGCTTGTGGATCGTACAGAGTCAACGCAATTAATACAAAAGTAGGTATAGCAGTACAATGTAAAAAAAATTGTGTAGATTTCCTACCTAAAAGGTAGGTTATTGATTTCCTACCTTATTATTCGCGAAATTACATCCTCGGTTATTCAACGAATAGTTTATTAAAATTTCGGACTTTTTAGAGTGTAATATAGCTGCTGTGGTGTGCGTAAATTTACTACGAAAGAGTTTACAAGCTACAAAATATACATCTGCTGTTTGATTTCACCCGTAGAATTGTGTAAAGCCGCCAACATATTGGATTTTTACACACGAAAATGTGTAAACAAGAAAAATACATATTCATCGTGTAAACTTACCACAAATTTTTAAAAATAAACAAAAATATACTCGATTTATAGTCGAATTTTTTTTTTTAGAGTGTAGTTTTTTTTAGTTTGTGTATATAATCATGAAGAAAAAAATATTTTAATATGAATTGATTTATGAAAAAAAATCCTTCAAAGACAAATTTCGACTCCGCCAATTTTGAACCACTCGTAATTAGTTGGATTTTTTAAAAGACATCATAGCAATGTCAAAATAAAAACATATATCGTGAATGGCTTACGATTGTTATGACACAGGTCGTGTCCGACTTATGTACATAAATATGGATTTTTGATATTCTAATAATGTATGATTTTTTTTTTTAGATAATAATAAAGAGGAAAAAGGTTGAATCAAAAATAATTTAAATCTTGTCCCTCTTTCTCTTTCTTGCGGTAAAGCATGATTAAATTTTCCTACAGGGATGTATTTGATTTTTTACTTCTTGCGCATGCATTATAGGCCATTGGACTAAATGGGTGAATAACTCGAAAATTATGTGAGATTAAAAAGTGATCGGCAGGGATTAGTTGCTAAGCAGGAATTTATGTGAGAAAAAAAAAAAAAAAAAAAAACAAAAATAAAAAATTGTAGAAAAAACATAAAATATTTTAGAACAAAAAAAATAAATAAATTATTTGATTTCTAATTTTAAGAGGCATGTGTATCCAAATATCTTGATAAGCGCATTAAAATTAAAATATTTGTTAAACAAAAACACGGAAAACATAAATAAAAGAATTAAAATATTTATAATTTTTTTTTAAATAAGATGATGAGTAAAAGCCAACGCGTATCAACAAAACAAAAAATAAATAAATGAATACGGAAAAAATTAGTTAAAATCATTTAAATATTGAGGCAGCAAAAAAACTAAAGTATTTCGACGGCTGCGTGGAAAATCGACCTAACTCAGCTGCCACTCCAAAAAATGTATTTTCGATCGAGTCAGCCGTCGATATGTACATACCTATGTAATAGATTAGGTTATGCTGGCTGGTCATAAGAGGTCTCACATAGACGAATATAACGTCCATAGCGTTGGCAGATACGTTTAGGACCCAGGAATCCATGCTGTCGCGCACAGTTAAAGAACATTCCGCTCCTTTAGCGAATTTTACTTAAGACACTTTGGTCCTTTATCGATTGCTGACTGTAGGTCCTGCAGCTGAACCTTATCGAGTAACGCGAGTCTCTGCCTGCTGAAGGCTGGAGACGCTCAAATAGGGCAACCACATTTTCAAACGCCCAGAACCCGAAGATTGAAAAATATAATTATTAATCTTCACTTTTGTTGGTTTTTGTTAATATTTCTTAACAAAACATTAACTCAACCTATGTGAAAAAATCGACGAAGCATGACTTTCCTGGCCCAAAGGCTCGAAAGGGACTACTTAAACACATCTGAGAATTTTTCTCAAACCCCGAGAATTTGTGGCGAATTCTGAGCCCCGAGATTCGATCGGAGACCTCTAAATCTGAGGGTGAAAAATTATATGATCCACAGTTTTCTCGTGATAGTTGCACTTTCTACACTTTTTGTCCTCTATCAGATCTAATTTAAAAGCATCTCCCACCAGCAAGCAATGCCCCGTTGGTAATCCTACCAGATTTTCCGAGTCTGTTCTTCTTCTTGATAGTAGTAAATCATTAAGCTTCGTATCATATAAACCAATATAATCTTTGCAAATCCGCAATCCTGAGTTATTTTCCGAAACCTATACGCCTGGAAGATCTTGTAATCTTTTGATTCCCCGAAAGGGAATTGGTGTAATCGTCACTAGTGAGACATCTAAGAGGACAATGCGTCCTGCAACCCACACCCTTTTGTCCTAGGTCCTAATATACGTATACATTTTTATTCGCAGCTATCATTTTTATAGCCTCCTTTCAGTCCGCGATGGTAGTCGAATTTTTATTACATGAAAAAATGCGGCCGCCTGACTACCTACATAAATATATATATGTTTATCAGTTTGCTTGGTGGGTTCATTTCATGCAGTATACTCCGGTAGCTTAAAGGACCTATTAAATTCCGATTCGGCGAAGTATACTGCGGTACTTACTCCTTCGTCCATTTCGGAATCGTCTGTGTAGATGTGTATTGTGCTCTCTTCCAACTCCACGCCAGCCTCTATTGTAGCTTCTAGACACCTTACGAAACTCAGGCGCGGGTTCACGTAGTCTATTCGCTCGTTTGAGCATGACGATATGCTACTGTGTCCGTACGTCAATACCCCATAGCATAGTATTGGCTTAACGATTGCTGTGAATATCCAATGTGAAATGGCGAGTGAAAGACCTTTAGTATAGGCGCGCTGCGCTTTCGGGAGTTGCCACACATCTAAGTTTTGCTTTTTGTATACATCTTTTAACCGTTCCAGAGTTTTTAGAAGAAAGGATGTTTGGCTAATAGGCCCAAAATCGCAAGGGTGTAAATGGCTGTTTTTGGCAGGAAGAAAACTTTTGCAGTCCTCCATGATTCAGGTATGTAATTTTGCCTAAGGCAGCCTACGAATAGTTTACATAGGTACTTTAAAAATTTGTTTCCAGCTTTTTCAAGCATGGTTGGAAAAATACCATCAATGCCTGCTGATTTAAGTTTCGAGAAAGTATGCAGGGTCCATTAATTCCCGCCCGGAGTTACTAAACTTTCCACAGTCAGAACTGCTGCTTCCTTACATAAGAAAGAACATTAAAAAAAATTAAAAATTTGTATTTTAATTTTTTCTTTTATTTTAAAATGTTAAAAGGACGTTTCTTTTTATATTTGTAAATATAACACATAGATACAAAGTACAAGTACAAATATTTATGTATGTTCATTAAAAATTCGAGGCACAGTTACATAATTGTAAAAAATGTACGTTTGTAGGTATGTAAATATGTATGTTTGGTTCAATATTGCTTGTCGGACAAACAGCTTCATAATCAGTGTCAACGTGTGCTTGCAGCGAAACTTTCGTATTCAAATCACAAGAAATAAATAAGTTTTAAAATAAAGGGAATTACAATGAAATAAAAAAAATAATGAGTAGATAAATATTTATTTTATAATTATGCTAGCAACTTTTCTATTTTTTGTTTTTCTTTAAGCAATTACTTTCATCACTTGCATTTTCAAACATAATGGCAATATCTTTCCACTGCTACAAAATCGCTATCTATTCGTCAAGTATCTGCAACACATACGTAAGTGCTCTTGGTCGCACTTCGCTTCCTCTTTTCCCCTCCGTTTCGGATGTCTTGGCGGCCTCCGACCATCAGCTTACTTCACCTCCTTCGCCTTCTCCGTCTCCAAGTACGTACGCATCAAACAATCGCCCAAACCCAGCTTGTCCATAATCTCCAATATGTCTTCACAAAACTTCGCCTTTGCCGTCACCTCATCATCGCCGCAATCCTCTCGACGCTTCGCCAGACGCGCTATTACCTGTAACTTGGCATCGATTACGGCATAATTGCTATCGGGTATAAAGCTAGCGCTTTTGTCTCTCAAATACAGTATCACCGATTTGAGTGACTTCGAATTGAATTTGGAACTTATGGCACCAGATGCAAAGTCCTGCGCCTTCACCATTTGCGCATGCGTCGATTTTTGTTTGCAAACCAGGCAATTCCAATTGGGATGCGGCAGACCGGTGATCTCAGGCACTGCCAGCCCAGTGCAATTGGTGTCGCGACAATAGAGCGCAGAAACGAAGGCGCCTTTTTCCTATTCAATGAAATAANTTGCAAACCAGGCAATTCCAATTGGGATGCGGCAGACCGGTGATCTCAGGCACTGCCAGCCCAGTGCAATTGGTGTCGCGACAATAGAGCGCAGAAACGAAGGCGCCTTTTTCCTATTTAATGAAATAAAGAAGAGAAAGGTATTTTATAGTATTATAAAAATTTAATTTTTAATTATGTTGCAAAAAAATTTTATTTTATTTTTTTATCTATGTAAGTGAGTAAATTAGTGACTCTAATATGCTGTAATCATTTTTTTTTTAGTTTTCACTAAAACCTAAACAGTGCCACATACATACTTACACATGTGCCTGTGTGTTTTCACTTTCAAAATATTTGTTTATTTCAAAACCTGTTGCGCATAAATTAACATGTTTTGTAAAATTTAACAGCTATACTACATACGTACGCACATATCTATCCTATTTTTATACATATTATTTTATTTGTGTATTTATCATCTGCGTTTCCTCAAGCTAAAAAATACTTACGCCTTACTACTGCGCACAAAAATTCATTTCCATTTTGCTCACAAAATTCATGCGCCGTTGAAATATTTTCCTACTTAAATATTTATTTAATAGCCAATATGTAGGTAATCTCGCTACATTGCCGAACATAAGTATTTCCACTTATTTACATACTTGTAAATTGCTCTCAGTCTGTTTGTTACATCATCCAAAACGGATATCCAGCTATGATCAAAAACTGGACAAACAATTGTTGAGAAATTCTAAAGTAACTGAATTAAAAATTCAAATAAAGGGGAAACGTAATTCCCATTTTGATTTTGATGTGTCTTCTTTTCTCATTTGAGTATTTTCCAATCGTCTTCAAAGATTTGTATTTCCGGCCGCATATCAATGAAATTTCCTGTTGTTGTTTGTAAAAAGAATAAAAAACAAACATAAATGGAAATCTCGTCGAAACAAAAAGTCTCAATATAATTTTTTTCTAATATTAGCAAATTTTGTGCATCCCAAATGAAAGTAAAACAAAAAATATTATCCAAATAAACTTCAAGTTTTTCGCTTAAAAAATGTGCAACGCAAATAAACTCTCAAGAATCACTGTCGGAAAATTAAAACCGCGTGAATTAAGGCCGTTTTCTTATCTCTTCGATGGCCTAATTTCACTTGTCAAAAATAATCAAAACCACGCGGCCTAATTTCATTTTTGGTTCGCAGCCTAATTTCTATTGTCAAATAATTTCGTTTTATGATCGCTGCCTAGTTTCACTTATCAAAATTAATTATTCCCGCGCGGGCGGTCTGATTTTTTGTTTGCGGTCCTACTGCAGGCGCCCATAATGTAGGAAGCCTATGTACATGCCCACGTGTCTCTGTAACTAAAAATTTTCGGCCAGCATTACAAGACACTCTCAAAGACGAAAAGCAATAGTCAGCAGTCAGCAGCGTCACTAGATGAAAATATGGACCAGAGCCCCCAGTCGAGCCTACGGAATCGATGTTACGACTATAATGAGGTACGAACAGCGACTTCACGGCTAAAAATAAAGAAAGCTGCTGACGCTTAAAGCCAGACAGTGGCCTTTTCAACTACGACGGCGAGGGGTTGAGAAGACGCCGACTAGAATTTAATTTGGCGGCCTAATCCACAAGAAGACCTATCCTGTCTTCTTCTTCTTCTTATTTGGCGCTGTGACCGCCTAAGCGATTTTGGCCGAGTTCGACAAAGCACGCTAGTCGTTTCTCTTCTGTGCCAACTGACGCCAATTGGAAATGCCAAGTGAAGCGAAGACCTACTCCACATTGTCTTTCCATCGCAGTGGGGGCCTCCCTCTTCCTCTACAACCGCCAGCGAGTTCCGAGTTGAATACCTTCAAAACTGGAACGTCGGTGTCCATTCTAACGACATGGACAAGCCAGCAGAGCCGCTGTATTTTAATTCGCTGCACCATGTCTATGTCGTTTTAGAGCTCATATAGCTCATCGTAACATCGTCAGCAGCACTCGCTGTCGCCAACGTATATAAGCCCGTGAATCTTCCGCAAAATCTTTCTCTCGAATACTATAAGAGCCGCCTAATCGGATATTGTTATTGTACATGCTTCTGCACGGGCATGATGAGTGACTTATATTTAGGGTGTGTTAATTCTAGCTTCCAAATTTACGAAGATGTCCAGTAAACGGTTCAAGAAAGTGCTTAAGAAATTTGCTACGCTTTCTACTATGGTTTGCTAAAGTTTGTGTGTGAAGAGTACAAGGCACCCTTGTTTTCAACAGAAATTTCTATTATTTCGGAAGGAAAAAGTGACAACACAAACCCTTGGACGCTGCTATTCACACACACGAACCCGCGGGATCCCAAGGGAGCCAAAAACAGCCCAGAAACGAATACGTTGCACTTTTGCGTCGTAAATGTTTTCTTGTTCGTGCCCGAAACAGTCCGCACATTTTTTCCGGGCTCAAATTTGCAAATTCAAATTCTTATAACAGCCGGGTGTCCAGATTGCTAAAAAAAAGCGCCATTTCTGAAAAAAATCGCCCTTTTAAAATAAAATTAATGAAATCGACTTAACAAATCTTTTATTTAAAAAATGAGATCTTGCTATAATATAGTTTAAACAAAAAATAATAATAATAGTCATGTACAAACAATTTTCTTTAAAAATACGCATACGTTTAAAAATATTTATACCAACACATTTTCCAATAGGACTACGCAATTATTAAATTTATTATAACTCATATTAATTGATTTATGGCACAATCCGCTTCGGCGCTAAAAATAAAATAAAAACCTTTCTAATAAGGCGAAATCAGCAATTTCCACAATTTCTTCAAAATCACCTATAGTGTCTGAATCATTTACATTTGTGTTGTTGTCATATATTGAGCCTTGATAATATACTGTTTGATATTGGAAACATTTTGCAGCAGAAACTCTTAGCCTTCATATAAAAATTTGCTCGAACTATTTAATTAAGGCTTTCCAACCTCATCCGCGCTCAACAAAAGCATTTGATTGCGGCAAGGATAGTAATATGAAGACTTTGTTACTTATATTTCCCAACATTTTATTGCCTGTTGCTGTTTTCTCTCCGTAAGCAATTATCCAAAATTCTTCAGACTTTACAGTCCAAAGCATTATAACCATTATCTTATACAAAAATTGTAACAACAACTTTAAGATACTAGCATCGTGTGAATTCCCTAATTGCGTTGTTAAGTGGAATTCCTAACAAAATGCCCGCCAATTAAACGCCTATGTACTACATACATATGTATGTATGTATGCATTTTTGATAGCCGGCATTTTTTTTAAAACCAAAATGCTTGCGGGTGGTACAAGTTCAAGAGCGACAGCAGCAGGTCGTAAATGATCACTCAGCGGGTCAATCTTATTTGTACATACATACATACATGCGTATTTATGTATATACAAATATACAAATGTAGATAAATATGTACGTAAATAAGTATGTACTTGAGCGCATTTCTTGCTTTTGTTTTCATTAATTTTGTTTTGATTTCAGTTTTCCGAATAACTGAATATTTTGTTTTTTTAAATTTAATTTCGAATTTTACTTGCTAATTCCATGCCATTTCACTTTAATTTTATTACTCGTAGTTCAACGTAAACTTATTGTCGAAATTCTTCCAACGGTAACATGTTTATTTATGTACCAAAATATTACTACAAATTAAATTAACACCTCAAAGTGAGCCAAGCCAAAAAATTGCGAAAGGAAAACAAAAAGTTGTTCGAAGATAGAAAAGTACTTATGTATATGTATATAAATGCATATGTAAGTACTAATATGTATACATATTTACCTGTACATATGTGGATCACTGCCTCCCTAAGTTTATTATTTTAGTTTATTAAAATTTTTAAATTTTCATATTTCGATCAAAATCAATTTGATTTGATGTTTATTACCGAGAAAATTTTTGCACCCGGCAAAATGACATTCGTATGTATGTTTGTATGTTCCTTTTCACATTTAAATACATACATACTTATGTATGTATATTTTTTCTAATACTAAAAAAATGTTTCCGCCGCGCTAAAAACGCGATTTTAGCAAATTTTGCTATGCCAAATATTTTCTCACGCATTTCAGGCAGGCGGATGCGCGCTAATAAATGTTTCAAAGCTGCAAAATCATTTTGGAATTTTAGATCACAGCAATTGGCTTACAAAAAAGCCAATATAGTCTTTTTAAATTAAAAAAAAAAAACCTTGCTGACTTTTGAAATCCTAAACAAATTTATTAAATAGTCAAATGCTTTAGTATAGCAAGTTTGTTAAGTGGTTGGTATGTATGTGTATCTACTTATGAGCAGCAGTGAAATTTTATAAAACACAATTTTTATAGTTCAAATCTTTTCAAAATATGTGAGAGAATGTATTTTATTTTTTTTGGCTATTTATTTCGCTATTTTTGTCGCATCTGTTTTCAAGATTATTAGTTATTTATGATTATATTTACGTCGATTTTGATTTTAAATAGCTGGCTCTTGCTAATGTATTAAATATTGATGTTATGTTATAAAAAAAAAAAAAACAAATGACTAAATGGACGCAAACTTAGAAGGAGTGATGAGTAAAATGTTTCTCGTTAGCTGGCTAATTTCCCATATCGTGAAAGACAAGGTCAAGGTGGAAAATTATGGCCGGCGGCTGTGATGACGATTTAACAATTTGTTTTTGTCAACGACGAACTATTTAATTGCTTACGCTTTAGAAAGAGGCTGCTGGAAATTGTGTATGTAACTAATTTTGCCTCTCAATTAAACAAATTCTACTACATACTATCTCGAGTATACAGTAATCCGATTGACCATTATTTATGATCGCAAGAAGAGTTGAATACAGATCTTTATAATTTGCACTTTTATCAGGGAAAACAATATTTTGAAGGCAAACGAACTATGGTCACGAAGCGAGCCGGTGTGAACTAAAATCTGGGGTGCACTGTCGCTTAGCCTAAAAGCCCGAATATCACACCTAACTCATAACAAATAGATTCCTCATGGTCCTAGATAGACGTAGAGATGACCTCTTCATTCAACCAAAGTTTTTTATTACATCCCAGGATCACACTAAATGCGCCTGGATGTATGTAGATCTAAAATTCTTCGCCATCGCGGTCATTTACGCACGCGGTCCGCCGAAATAGCCTTTTATTTGGCGCCCACAGATCTCCCCTATGAGCGCTAGGCGCATACCTACCATCGCTGCCCCCGTCACGATACCAACATCGGGGTAGGCGATTTCAATGCCAGGCTAAGAATTGAAGGGACCTTTGGTCCATCCGTAAGAAAATTCAGCCTCCGCGACAAACATCCGATAGTGTACTGAGGCTGATCGAGTTCGCCAGGGCCAGAAAAAATATTGTCAGGCTACAAGGCTGTCTTCAGATCAAAAGATGGAAAACTAAATTGAATATCTTTTTATAGGCAAAAGGCACGAATCCACGCTTAGGGTCATTGTATGCTCAGAGAACCAAACATGTAATCGGGCCACTATCTTTATGTGGCCAAGATACGAACCCATCTCCGCAACACATTCCCAGCTAGCAGAGAAGCGTAAGTTTTGTCGAAGTTTTGACAATTTTACGTATCCGGAAACGAAAAGAAAACGACTACAATTTTCCTTCATTTACGTATCCAAGAACGTCGAAAAAACAACGGGATTTTCGTATCCGAAAACGAACAAAAAAACGACTACAGCTATCATTAATTTTCGTATACGGAAAAGTTTCGAAAAAGATGATGCTTTTTGAAAGCAATAAATAATTTTTTGTTTTTTGTTCAAGCTCAACATTTGAAAGGCTCAGCGTTTGGAGGAGCGTGCACTATTTGTTAGCTTCCAGAAGGTGCCGGGTTCGAATTCCGTCAGGCGCTTCCTTATTTTATTCTATGTTTTGAACCATGAAAAAGCATCTATGAAGTGCAGAAGGAAAGCGTATTGAGCCAAAAAAATTCAATCTGACAAATTTCAAAAATAAGAACAGTCAAAAATTTGTCCGTTTTACAAATGTTTTCTGTAATTGTCTGTAAAAATATACATTTCTGCAGCACACTTTAGTGGGAAAACGGATCGTCGAAGTACGTCAAAAAGCTGCTGCCACAACAATCGGCCACAAGCCGAAATTCGCGTGCACTTTTTCCGCTTGTTACGTCCCGTAACAAAAGAAATATATTGTTTTTAATGGCTTAAAAAACCACCTCACGCCTGGTGAATCTACCACTGACCAATTATTCTGTGTGAATTGGCTCTCAGAGCCAAACGAGCTTTCAGGCAGGGTGACTCTGTATCGTGCGACTTCTTTGCTGTATAAGCTTTATATCGGCTCCACTGACTTGGTCATGTCATGAAAGTGTTAGGAATGTCAGTGGCAAAAATATATCAATGTATTTCTTTGACTTTGCATCGAAAGGTACATCGATATATTTACATAACATACTTACATCGATGCATCGATTGGCATAGGACTCTTCAGATATTATTTCAGAGAAAAATATGTTATTAGCAAAAGTGATTGATTGAATTGATTACTATAATTGAGCTAGTTATGTTTCTAAGGACACTTGGAGCCATTTTAATTTTTTGCACTTAGCATTTTTATTGGCATTAGTTGGAATATAAAAAAAAACGACTACCGTGCTTCTTTCTAAGACCGTTACAGCAAAGCTTAAGAATTGGAACAATACCATACAAGTATTAAGCGAATGCTGAGGAAACCTCCCCTTCCTTTAAACCGCTAGGCTGACACGGCTGTACTCTTGGGAACAAGGTATCAATTCTTCTACACATTCTTACAAGTCACTATGAATTCGAGATTAGGAGTGAATGTGCCGGCCTACTGTCGAAGCTGCAGATGCGTAGAATAAAAGCAAAGTGTATAGTACCTTATCTGCTGCTGCCTAATACTTAGCAGAATACGACTACAGACGCTCGGAAAACCCTATCTACAAAACTTTTCGGAGGTTGAAAGAATTAACATAAGAGCTTTAACAAAGTTCATTACGTCAACGAAATGGGTTTCTCCCGAGTGAGTGTCGCAGCCTCGTAGGGCGGTTATGGCTTTCGGTATAGCATTATAGAGAGTGTCAGATCCACTCCAGTAATAGAGCGTGACTAGTGCTGGACCGTTCATTAATAAAAATTTTACAGTTTATGGCTCTGTACAAATTCTGGGCAGCACTACAGAAATGTAATTCTGAAAAAAAGGTCGCGTTTTTTACAATTTCTGTGTTCACTACGCCTTATTGAATCACATAAACTAAAGTAAGATGCCCAAGTCAACCAATCACTAAGTTCTTTCTTCAAAAATCCGGCGCACTAAGAAAAAAAAAATAATATTACATTGTCACCAGCGCTTTCCCATAAAAATAGTCCCCATTATTTATATGAGATTCCTGCCACTTTGTTGTATTATACACTCTCCCATATACTTATGTACTTTCAAAGGCAATACCCCATGAGTCACTAATTTTGCTCACTCACTTTATTATCACTGTCGATTACCACACTTACTGTTGGATCAGAGCAGCGCGGACACTTGCACGTAAATCCTTTCTTCATTTTCAAAAACAAATGTCGTGCAATATTTCCGGTGAATAATTTTGTGTAGGTTGTTGTGATTTCACTACCAGCTGGTATATCAACTGAGGCACGCACCACCATATTTCTGGTCTTCTCCTCGAACGTATAATACGAATTGGGAATGCAATCGTGATTCATGATAGCGAATAATGGGTAGAGCGCGCGGTGAGGAAACTCCTGATTGTCATTGGTGCGATCGGCGGTCTCATCGAATCCATTCGTGCGCAATACTGCCACAGTACGATTCATAATTTCAATTAGTTTCTTATCGGTGGGGAACTCCATGAATCCTTTGGCGGCATTACGCACTTCAGTGCGATGATTATTATCTAAGTTTGCCTGCAGACAGTAAACTAGATCGCGTTGCTCCTTCGCCAACTTGATGGCACGCCCGACACACAGCAAACGAATGAGCAAAGAGTTTGCCACATCCGGTTCACTGGGTTTCCACGATTTGAAAAGTTCACAATCGGATTTGTGTTGTTGTTTTTTGCCACACAATGAGCAGACGGGCAAACCGCAACCTTGGCGACACATAAACTTCGTATCAGGCAACATTTTAAAGCACACCGAACACGAATTAAGCGTATCCTCGCCGCGTGCCGCGGGACCGATCAGCAGTGGACTGTCGCGAAAAATCACATCACCGCGTTTGAGGTCGCGCGTGGCGAAAATGCCACGCCCAGCAATTTTAGAAACACCTATTTCCCATGCAGGATCGGTGTCCTTGAAGGGCGCCAAATGGAGTGTAATTAACTCCGCAGTGCGCTTTGGACAAATCATAATTTTAGAAAAATATGTACTCTTATGTTTGTACGTATGTATGTATGTATGTATTCACAAGCACTTTATTGTAGTTTTATAATATTTTGTCTTTGGATTATTTTAAAAATTTCTATCACTTTTTTGCACACGACTTCCTTTAATGTCTATAGAATCAGTCTGTTCAGCAGATTTTTTTTTTAATATTTCGCGCTACGTAGCCGTTGGCAAACTGTCGCCGTTTTCCAGCTTACAACGCTTTTATTCGAAAATTGCCGAATTTTTCAAATATCTTTGTGAAATATGCTTGATCTCAAAATAAATGACGACGCGATCGCCATGATCCAACAGCGCCGAGCGCCAGCATTGTACACTTTCGTTGAGAGTGAGTGCGAACATGTGAGTGAAATTAATGAAATCTTTTCAAATTGCTTAATTTGACTTTAATTCGATTCAAATAGAGTGTTCGAAATGATCTAGACCATTGCGGGTGTCTGCAAATAGTGATGTGATTTACGTAAATAGTTACCAAGTTGTTGGGTAGGCAAGTATTCGATTTAGATTTGTAGACACTATTAATTCAAAAATTAGTTTAAAGTGTATTTATGGCCATTATCACTTGATGAAGGCACCTTCTCCTTATGGAAGTCGATAATAAATAATATATCCTTTTGAGTGTGATCTTCCACTCAGCGGTCGATATGTTCATGATATTATAAAGCTCTCACAGTTGCCATACCATCTTCTTTGCCAAGAATGATAGAATTCAAGATTGCGCCGATCAGAGAGGATTTTTGAGAATAACTTTTGTGTGTCGTCACACTGGTGCAATTGCGAGAGAGAAATGCCAAAACGTGAGCAAGAATGGAAGAAGAAGAAAAAATGTTGCAAGGAAAACGTAAACAATTTGCACAAGTGTGGCGTCATGCAAACAACTATTCTGTCAAATTCGTTAAGAGAGGAATAGCGGTCCGAGATCGGCGCAACCTTTGTATTCTCTCAATCGTGCTTCTTTGCTATATATCGCTCAATCAAACTAGACCATCGATCTTGCGTAGCATTGCCCAGAGAAAGCTCTCCTTATCAAGTGCCTTACGAGCACAAAGTAACACCTGCTCGCAAGATTTATTCCTTACTTGATCTCATACTGACATTATTGATCGTGTTAATGCTGAATTTTTCGCTACTTTAAAGTTATAATTGTCAACAGTAACATGTATCCCATTGCGCGAGGACCGTCGTTAATTATCGGAAGGTTCTGGCGTTGTTGTAAACTTCATACCATTTTCGATCAACATATTTCTGGTGCTGAATTTACTCAAAACAATAGCCGCTTAAAACGTGATGAAAGTAGTTCTTCATGACTTTTTTTCATTCAATTCCAGTTTGTGGTATGCATTTTGAAGATCTACATAGTCCCGAAAAATATTTCGCTCCTATGTAGAAGTTTGGTCATAAATGAGTCGAATATTGAAATTTGATAGTTTTCTCTCAATATTTCCACATTGGCGGACCCCATATCGATGCATAGACGGATATCACCGGTTTCTTTAAATTCTACTACCTCTTAGATATCCACGGAATAGGTCCTGTCACGGTGCCTATGATACCTTGTTTCACTGCTTCGCTTAACTTTTCTTCGTACTTTTTTTCCAAGGCAGCCGGTATTCAGCACATTGGGTGATGAGATTTTAATGCCCTTGGGAAATATCTAGTGATCTTGTATGCGATTTATTTCACGGTTTTCAGTTTTATAAAATTTAACTGCATGGCAATCTTTCGCCCCAGTAGATGTTCAGCTTAATTTCCAATAACAAGAAAGATGGTTCAAATTTTAACCAGACCCCACTACCGAAAATAAGAGCGTACTAAAGAGCCGTTAAGCTTAAATCCGTTGGGCAGTTTGCATGCAGGTCCCACCAGATTGACTACGTGATCCCGCATGGGTACCTTTAGACTAATTTCAAGGCCACGGGGTCGAAGACTGCCACGAGGACAAGACGATGCCTGAATCGGTGCATGTTTAAACAGATGGATCGAAAATGCCCAATGATGCAGAAGAGGCGCATAGCTTTAGTTTAGTTAGTCCGACAAGGTTCCGGATTATTGTAAGATTTTCCATCCAGAAGATTAATCAATAAAACAGGGCGCAGGGTGGAGGTACGTCTGTAATGGATTCCGGAGCATACTTGCATCATTGACAGCAAGGAGGCCAACAGACCCGACAAAGAAGAAGTTCTTTCGGAAACTGAGCCAATTGAAAATTTGCTGATTTCTCTAAAAGCAACTACACTCGTACTAAAACCCTAGAAACACTTCTTTATTTTCTGGCCGTGGACCTTTCGAGAAGCTTCAGGAAAGCTTCAGTGCTATAATTTGAATGACCCCTATATTTTTAGAACACCAGACTACACAATACCGCCTCTCAATCTAGAAAACAAACATTTATTCCTCGTAGGAATGATTGAGAAGACGATGTGGTCTCAGACATTCAAGATTACTCTACAGCCATCACCACGGATGGCTCTAAATTAAATATAAGAATAGGAAGCGGGAAATTCAAAGGAGCGCTCACTGAATCTCTATTTTAGGCTGTCAGACCACTGCCGTGTCTTCCAAGCAGAGATTGGCTTATCGACTCTTCTCCTAATCTGCCCTCATAGAGACATACTACAAGGTAAATCCACGTCAGTAGAGCTTTCGAGGACCTGAAAATTCTGCCTCAGCTTCGACAGGAAAATGTTCGACTCACTCAGACTCTGTAAACGATCCGATTTATCACAGGTCACTGCTTTATGGGAAGCCATCTAGCTGCTGTATTTAATTCATAAGATTCGTCTCTTAAGAGCACGGATGCTAGGCTACTAGTTTGAGTTCTTACTAAGAGGACACTATTGGCTTCACATACCTTTAAGTAGGCTTTGAGCAATGATGAACTTTGCAGGAGATGCGAAACGTACGAGCAGTTCGGAACCCTTAGCAAGCACCAAATTAAGCTGCTGAGAATAGTATTTGTGTCGAATTTGGACGTTCTTCACTGTCTTGATTGTCAGGCAAGTCTCTGAAAGACGGGATATAGCAGTTAGTTCTAAACGAAATAGGTAGTCGGTTTCCTGCCCATCTCTTAGCAGCACTAGGCATCATTAGGCCTCAATATTTCACTCTCATTGCCGTGACAGCTCCCACGATGCGGCCACTCGGCCAACTACTCAGTGAGTTGGCAGCGCCCCAGACATACACACACATACACAAGCACACTACTGCAGCCTACAGGTGGGGTGCACCACAGCAATGACGGTATGAAGCTGCAAAATATTGAATATTGGCCTTAACTGAGTGTTGGCATCTTTTTGCGCTGGCACCCAGTGGTTTTATTCATGTTTAGTGTTTCTTTTTTTGTTTTTGTTTTTGAAGAAGCATTCCCACCGAAAACATTACTGAGGCGTTGGTTGCAATGTGGAATTATGAATTTACCGTCAGCTACCTATCAGATCTGCGAAGCGTGCGTGAAATTATGAATATGTATAGGATGCTAGTTTTAAGTCGCTGTAGCGCTGTTGCGTTTGGCATGAAACCGGCTAATTGGGATTAAATATATCTTCAGAAGTCTACTTTATGTTGTCTTCTGATTTGTGTTGTACGAATTTATTACAGACACTCTAATAATTTTGTTAATTTTACAAGAATTCAATACATAGCCATTTGCATATTTACATACGTCCACACATACATAGGTATCTGAGACTTTTTGTCACGAGTGCTTTGACGCAAATAATTATAGATTCAAAAAATCATATTTTTTGCATATTTTACTGCATATTCATCCTTCATACTGTTGAGTCTCGAGGTCTCGTTGCTGTTGTAGTTGACTTCGCCGTTTGCGGAGGAGCCGTTATTGGAGGGGTGTCGCGTTTTCGATTGCTCGCGAACTGCAGTATTGCAATACAAGAATGAATATTACGCCAAAATATTTGCATTTAATTTTTTTATTCTTTCACGGTATTTCGAAATGTATATGTTTCCTTCTAAAATTTGGTCGTCACATAATTCTAAATTTTAATTCAATAATATTTACGCGCATATCAAAATCGAAAATTGTCAATTAAATTTTTATATCAATTAAATTTTGCACATTCATTGCAGCGCAACGAAAAGCGTTGTAAAATACGTGGATTTGTGTGAAAATTAATGCAAACTTTAAAATTTGTTTTTTTCAACTGTTAAATGCATGGCAAATACCTACTATTGCTACATATGTAGTTCTTTACACCTACAGTGACTCAAACAAATGACCACGTATTGATTTTCTTCAAATATTCGTAATGTTTTTCGAGCTATTTTTTTTTTTTGTTATTTTTATATAAAAATATCGTCTAAGCTTCAACCAAAACCGTGTAAATCACAGTTTCAAAATTTATACAAAATTTAGGAAAATTCAACAAATTTTCATCAAAATAGCAACTTTTTATTCTTAATTTTTGGAAAATTTTTTGGTATGCAGTTTTATAGCACATATAATTTTAGCCTAATGAAGTGCTAGTTTCAAAAGGCTAAAAAATTGCATTGATTTTTGACTTTTTTTGTGACGGATTTTCGATTTTTTTTCATATAAGTCTGAATTTCTTATGAAATAAGCGCGGAAGACCGTCAGCAACAAAATTTCAAAAACATCAACGCAAGTTGAATTTTGAAAAGTTGGAAGCTGTGATTTACTCGGTTTTGGTTAAAGCTTATATAAAAATAACAAAAAAATTTTGCTGGAAAAAAATATTACGAATATTTAAAAAGAAACAACACGTGGTCATTTGTTAAGTCACTGTATATTGCTGCTACCTGACGCACGCGGAGCATTTCTTCGCCAGCCGCTGCTTGCTATGCGCTCGTTGGGTCGGTCGGTGGTTGTCGTATGGTGGCATGAGCCTGCTAAAGGTGACCAGATAAGAACGTTAGCAAAAGAAATCAAAATGAAATACGGTCAACGAGGACAAGACGAGGTTTTTCCCGTCATCTAACAAACAGTCAAGGCATTCGAGTCTTGACCCCCATGTCACTGTTGACAGTTATAATATCGATAAAGTGGAGAACTTCGTTTACTTGGGAACCAGCATTAACACCGATAATAATGTCAGCGTCGAAATTCAACGCAGAATCACTTTTGCCGACAAGTGCTACTTTGGACTGAGTTGGTAATTAAAGAGTTAAATCCTCTCTCGACCTACGAAAACCGCATCCTATAAGTAACTCATCATGCCCGTGT